CGTCACGGATGAAGGGACATTCTGATTCAAAAATAGGAAATACGAATTTTGTTCAATTTAATTCAGTAAACATTTTAATAAACCCTTTAAAGGCTGCTGATTCTTGTATTTTGGGAAGTCACAACGAGTGGTGGGATTCAGCCGGTTCGGGCTGGTTCAGGCCGGTTCGGGAGAACTGGTAGTTAAATTGCTGGATGGCCCCGCCCCTTCCTACCCTGCCCCTTCCAGGAGTCCCCAAGCACCACATTTTGGCTCCCAGGTAAGTGCAGGGAGGCCTCTTAGGCCTAAAAGGGGCGGGGTGGTGGTAATGTGTTCCCCCTGTGGCCCATTTTTGATCCCAGGGGGGTGCAGGAGTGCTGCCCGTCACATCGCCTGGCCACGCCCACCAAGCCACGCCCACAGAACTGATAGTAAAAAAATTTGAATCTCACCACTGGTCACAACTAACTGTGGTCTGAAAGTCCAAATTTTCCTGACCCAATGGCTAAACTCTAAAATATGGTTAGATTTTAGAAGACTTTGTAGTGCCAAGGTAGAAGGAACTGTGCAGATTTTAACCGAAACAAATAGCATCCCCAAACCAGTCAAGTTTCGTCTAGCCTGGCGTCCAATTGGGTTTTAACTGCCTACAGGTAGTCCTCAACGTACGACCACAAGGGAGTCCAGAATTTCTGTTGTTGTGAGATGCTTGTTAAGTGAATTTTGCCCCATTTTACGATCTTTCTTGCCCCCGTTGCTAAGTGAATCAGTGCAGTTGTTACGTTAGTGACACAGCTGTTAAATAAATCCAGCTTCCCCACTGACTTTGCTTATCAGAAACTCACAAAAGGGGACAGATGCCCAACAGCTGAATTTTGATCACGTGACTACGGGGATGCTACAACGGTCGTAAGTGTGAAAAACAGTCATAAGTCACTTTTTTCAGTGCCATCGTATCTTCGGACAGCCACCAAATGTTGTTTAAGTCGTGGACTACCTGTATAGATTTCTATGAGCTATTGCTTTAATATCTTTGACTTTATGATCCCCATTTTTGGGGTACCAGAATAGAGTTTCGCTTGTTGCAAACATCTATTGTGATGAAGCCAGCAGTGGGTTTCACATTTTGTTACTACTAGTTCGTCGTGCTTGCTTTGCGCGCCCACCTGCCTTCAACGCATGCACCCGGCCTCAAAAGTGTGCCTAAATAGGACGTCATAGGGTCGGGGCAGGTGGGCAGGCCCATCCGCGATTTCTGCTACCGGTTCAACTAAACTGGTCCGAACCAGCTGAATACCATCTCTGGATGAAGCTTATGGAATCCTGGAGGCGGGGACTATAAAAGGAACTATTTTGTCAAAATCTTTCTGGCTATTCTCAGTGAAGAGGAGAAGATCAACATTTTCTGCATGTCTTTGCAATCTGTGAGTGTCCTTATGTTTGATTCAACCTACACAACTGCTTTATCTCTGATTGCTAGCATTATCTATGGAAGAGATTTAGGGATGATTTGTGGATTATGCAGGTGCCTTTGGAAATCCTCAAGTGTGATTTTTTTCCCCCCACCTGTCACGGTAGACTACATCTCTTAAGTATTTTGAGAAGCTCTCATCCAACCCCTACAGGGCATTTCTGCTGTTCAAGAAAAGAGGAAAGAGGAGGAGGATGAAGGGTGCAGAGGAAGATCAGGAGAAGAAAAGTGAGTGGAAAATGGGTAAGAAATCCACATTTTAGGAATGTTGGAATTCATTCTTTGCCCTTGTCGCTAGGCCAAATATATTTCAATTTTGAGCCTCCCGTTTTGATAGAAAAATAACCAGAATAACAGAGTTGGAAGGGATCTTGGAGGTCTTCTAGTTAGCCAATCCTCTGGTCAAGCAGGAAACCCTATACCATTTTAGACAAATGGTGGTCCAATCTCTTTCTAAAAACCTCCAGTGATGGAGCATTCACAACTTCTGGAGGCAAGTCGTTCCACTGATTAATTGTTCTCCCTGTCAGTAAATTCTTCCTTAGTTCTAGGTTGCTTCTCTCCTTGATTAGTTTCCACCCATTGCTTCTTGTCCTGCTTTGGAGAATAGCTTGACTCCCTCTCCTTTGCGGCATCCCCTCAAACATGGAATACTGTTATCATGTCACCCCATTCCTTCTTTTCTCTAGATTAGCTATACTCAATTCCTGCAACCGTTCTTCATATGTTTTAGCGTTCAGTCCTCTAATCATCTTGGTTGCTCTTCTCTGCACTCTTTCTAGAGTCTCAACATCTTTTCTTTTTAAATTGTGGTGACCAAAACTGGATGCAATATTCCAGTGTGGTCTTTCTTACCAAGTCAAAGAGCCTCGGTGGTGCAGCGGACTAAAGTGCTGTTAAGTGCTAGCACTTAGCTGCCAGCTGCCTGCAATTAGTGCAAGTTCGAATCTCACCAAGCTCAAGGTTGACTCAGCCTTCCATCCTTTCGAGGTAGGTAAATTGAGGACCCAGACTGTGGGGGCAATAAGCCAACTTTGTATAGAACAACACCGCTTGGGGGGCGGGGGTGAAAGCCCTAATAAGCAGGTATATACAAAAAAGTATCCAGGCTATTGCTATAATGCATTGTAAGCCGCCCTGAGTCTATGGAGAAGGGCGGCATATATTTATTTATTTTTAAATTTGTATACCACCCTTCTCCCTGAGGACTCAGGGTGGTGAACAGCCAAGTAAAAGCATAAACTACAAACATTAAAATACAATTTAAAAGATATATATAAATTTGGCCCCATGATTAAAAACAATAACAAACAATTAAAAACATTTTAAAAAGTGTTAGGCCAGCCCGGCTTGCTGGAAAAAGAAGGTTTTAATATAAATTGGACTAATAAATAAATAAATAAATAAATTATAAAATGGTATTAATATTTCATGCGATCTTGATTCTATCCCTCTGTTAATGCAACCTAGGACTGTGCTGGCTTTTTTAAAAAAATAGCTGCAGCATACTGTTGACTCATATTCAAGTAATCAACTAGTAATGAGTGAAGTGATTTCCATACAGCAAAAGAGTCCCTTTTGCAGAGACATTTTAAAAAGAATATTCCTGGTCTACAGGTAGAAGAGCAGGAAGGGCTAACTTGAGCTGCAGGATCTGTCCTGCCCCAGTATCTTCTCCATGGGAAATAAACAAAAACTTAACAGGTAGTCCTCAACATACAACTGTAAAGGTGCTTGCCCATTACGACTGAATGTTTTAATGGTCGTAATCATAACGATCTTATCTTTTTTTTTGGTGGTGATCGTTAAGTGAGTCTCTGGCTGCTAAGTGAATCTTTGGTCATTAAGCAAACCAGTGGGTTCCCTATGGGTGCCTTTCTCCCAGCAAATGTGCTGCGTTGCTGATCACTCAAAGTTCAATTACATGATGGCAAAGGAGGCTCAACCATCAGAATTCTGGCTATAGGTCCTCTTTTTTGGGTTGGTTGTAACTTCAAATGGTCACTAAGCAACTGGTCATAAGAGGAGGACCAGTGAAATGCTACCGGTTCACACCGGTTTGGGCGAACCGGTAGTGATAAAAACTAACGGTTCATCTGAACTGGTATTTCCGACGATCAGCTGAGTTGCGCGGTTTATATTCGCTAGAAAGCAGGAAATCCTGCTTTCTAGCGAAGCTAAGTCATGCGACACAGCTGTTTCCCCCCTCGCTGTTCTACTTACCTTCCCAAGCCTCCTTTTTCCATGTGAAGCATGCTTTCGGTGTGCACTGTGCATGCGCATGTGTGCAGTGTGCTAGCAGTGAACCAGTGGCAATCCGCGGAGGATTTCACCACTGAGGAGGACTACTTATAATGTAATCCTTACAGATATATCTGGAGGATACAGTCAAGATGATTGCTGTGATGGGTGCAATCCAAGTGGACAGAGCTTCAATTCTACTTTCATGGTCACCATCTTGATTTGTTTGACCGTATCTTTTGGGTACCCCTGGATCCTTATCATAGCTTCAATATCATTATAACATAAAAACCCTGCCAAACAGGAAAACAATGGGAAATCGAGGCCTCGCTCACTTTGATGTGGCCCAGGTTCTTTGCATATTCATACTACCTAGAAAAGCTTCCAGCTTTCTCACAACCCCACGTTTCTCCAGTCTGCCTTAAAGGATCGTTTGCATTCTCCAGGCACTTAGAACCTTCTCCTGCAAATGAAGCTGCTGTCACAGGCTACGCAAGAAGCCAAGCTGGCTTTACAACCCTGACTGGAGATCGGAGAACAGAAACCATATTGTACAGTTGGACAATGATGATCACTCATTGAGAAGGTGAGCTGCAATGTTCCCCTGCACCCTACCCAGTAAATAATTCAGCTTTCTCACAACCCCACATTTCTCCAGTCTGCCTTACAGGATTGTTTCCATTCTCCAGGCACTTAGAACCTTCTCCTGCAAATGAAGCTGCTGTCACAGACTACACAAGAAGCTAAGCTGGCTTTACAATCCTGATTGGAGATTGGACAACATAAACCATACTGCACAGGTTGGACAATGATGATCACACATAGAGAAGGTGAGCTGCAATGTTCCCTTGCACCCTACTCAGTGAATAATTCAGCTTTCTCACAACCCCACATTTCTCCAGTCTGCCTTACAGGATTGTTTCCATTCTCTAGGCCACAGGTGTCAAACACGACCACATCATGTCACGTATTGTCACTTTGTCATTTTTTGCCTTTGTGGAGCCAGGGTGGGCGTGGCCTGAGCATGATGCATCCGGCCCATGGGCCGCCAGTTTGACACCCCTGCTCTTGGCACTTAGAACCTTCTCCTGCGAATGGAGCTGCTGTTACAGACCAAACAAGAAGCCAAACGTATTTTGCAACCCTAACCAACAACATAAATCATCTAGAGATACACTGCACAGGTTGGACGACGATGATCACACATTGAGGAGGTGGGCTGTAATGTTCCCCCCAGGCACTCCTCCTCTGGACAGACAAGCCCCTTGACCCTTGGAAAGGGTCAGGTGGCATTCATGCTTTTACTTACCTGCTCATTGTTGCTCGCCCACCATTTCCCATACTCCCTTTTGGAGTGAAACACTCTATTTCCGACTTGTGCTGGGCCAGCCTCCTGTCTTTGTACCTAACAAAGCATGACAATGACAGGAGCAACAAAAACAGAAAGAAATGATTGTGGGCGTTCTCCTGTCACATAGCAGGGGTACAAGAGAGAGGGAGAGAGAGGTCCATGTGCAAAACATGGCACACTTCCAAGGACTATACTGGCCAATGGGGCACAGTCTCCAGCCTCAATAAAGGAGAATATTTGTAGCTCAGGGTCCTTGGGTTCTTGAGCTCGGTTTCTTGTGGACCTTTCATTACCCAACTAGGTAACATCATCAGTGCCACACAGCAAAGAGTTTGCTCTCTGTTTATGTAGAAGTGGCTTGCCCTATCAGTGTTGGTGGGGATTTTCTTACAGATTTCTTGATTAAGCTGTTGTTAGGCTCCCTTCTAGCACTGATGATGTTACCTAGTATGGCTAATGAAACTTCTTCAAGAAAAAGAGCCTTGATAGTACAGTGGTTTAGTGCACCCTGTTATTAACACAGCTGCCTGCAATTTCTGCTGGTTCGAATCTCTCCAAGGCTCAAGGTTGACTCAGCCTTCCATCCTTTCTAAGGTAGGTGAAATGAGGACCCAGTTTGTGGGGGCCATAAGCTGACTTTGTATAAAATATACAAAAGAATGAAGGCTATTGCTTAACGCATTGTAAGCCGCCCTGAGTTCCGGAGAAGGGCGGCATATAAATCAAATTAAAAAAAAAAAAAAAGAAGTTGGTGCACCAAGCACAGAGAGCACCAAGGACCCCTTAGTCTCCAGTCTTTTAGAGATGGGAACCACATGAAGGTGAGTAAAGGGAACTAGAAGAAAAGTCTAAGGAGACAAAATAACCATGTGGCTGGAAAAAGCACAGCACCTCGGGCCCGTTGTACAAGTGCGTTTTTCTACTAGGAGTACATTTGGCATGCAGCTGAAAGTTTCGACCGTAGAATAAGATAATTGATGACAGGGGCTTGCAAATGCACAGGCTTTGCCATCTAAGATTTAAATGAAAAATGCAAGCCATGGTTGCCAGCACGGTCTCTGGCATTAGTAGATTTCCAAAATGTATTCTTCGTAATGACGTTTTTGAAACGGTTGAGCATTTGCAGGGTTACCAAACCTCACCAAACCGCAGCCTTTTTTTCCCCATGAGATCTTGCAAACCTTTACAGAAGAACTCTGAAAAGTGGTCAAATAGATTGGTCTCATGAAAAATCCCTAAGCTATCATGATTTGCTCATAGAATTCAGGAATTTCTTTTTTTTCCAAACAAAAATATTTTGGGGGTGGAAGGACTCAGCACCTGAAAAGATGGATGATGCTAATCTAATCCTTCTCTTTGCCTGAATAGTAGATAAATGACAAGCGCGCCTTAATCAGACTGTTTTTTTTTTAAATGACTGATAAATAATGGATAACAACTGCCAAACTTAATTGAGAATGGAGAGTTACAAGAAAAAGAAAACTCTGAGTGCTGGGGCTGAGTTTTAAGGAATAAAATTGTGCAGATTCAGGTGGATGGCCACCATTCTTCCATGGAGAGAATCAACCCAATCATCGAAACCATCTTGCCTCCATCTGAGGCTCTCCATTTGTTTTAGGTGTCAGATTATTCATGGACTGGCAGAGACATGGTAACAAGGTCAGCCAATGAATAGGCATAGCAACTAAATCAGCCAATGGGAGCTGAGACAGACTGGAGCCAGGGCGTGTCTTAGTCTGCAGCTTCTGAGTCTGTGCAGAGAATTGAAACTGAAACCTGACTGTGAACTTGGCTGCTGATCTGAGTTGAAATCAAACTGTTCTCTGCTGTTGGTATTGTATATAAAGAAGTTAATTAATTCTGCTGAATCAGTTTATCTGTGTGTGCTTCTGGATTTGATTTTTGCAACGAACTCTGACATTAGGACTCCCAGAATTCCTGACCCACACGAAGGACCCCAGACTGAAAAGGTTTGTGGTAAAACATCCAAATGCTAGCTTTGCAGCCAAATTCAGTGATAACAATAAAATAAAATAAAATAAAATAAAATAAAATAAAATAAAATAAAAAAAATAAAATAATTAAAATAAAATAAAATAAAATAAAATAAAATAAAATAAAATAAAATATGTCTTAAGAGCCAAATTCAGAATGCGTAATCAAGTGGCAGTGATGAAGCTAAATCCCGTTAGGACAGGAGCAGCCAACGTGGCACCTTTTAAAAGTTTGCTTTACAAATTGTCTTTCCTGCTGGGTCTTAAACATTTGGAAGACACCAGGTTGCTGACCCACAGCCGTCTAGGGCATTCCAGTTTCCAAAGCAGTGCTCTGTGCAAAGCTGTGATAAAACTGCAAGGTTAAAGGAAGGTAAACCATGCAAAAATATTAGATCTGCATACATACTAAAGGAATTCAAGTTCCTACAATGGACAGAAAAGCAGAAAGGCTGGGCCGGCGGACGAAACTGTTGAAAGAGACGAAGGGGATTAAACTGCATCACAAAAATATCCGCGCAAACCTTCGTTCGAGCAGCTAGAAAAGAAAGGCATTAAAGATAGATGAGATTAAGAAACGTTCATCACATCTTCGGGAGAAAGTCAAAATGTTTTCCTTGGTAATGGGAAATGTACTGCATCAGTAGGTTAATGTAAAATCTAGCGATGGGCATCCAGGTAATCCTCAATTTACAACCACAATGAAGCTCAAAATCTCTGTTGCTAAGCGAGACTGTTGTTAAGTGAGTTTTGCCCCATTTTACGATCTTTCTTGCCATAGTTACTGAGGGATTCCCTGCAGTTGTTAAGTTAGTAACACGGTTGTTAAGTGAATCTGGCTTCCCCACTGACTTTGCTTGTCAGGAAGGTCTCAAAATGGGATCACGTGACCCCTGGGACACTGCAACCGTCATAAATACAAATCAGTTGCCAAGTGTCCGAATTTTGATGAAATGACCATGGGGATGCTAACTGTCTTAAATGTGAAAAAAAATCTCACTTTTTTCAGTGCCATTGTAACTTCGAACACTCACTGAATGAACTGTTGTAAATTGAGGACTCCCTGTATTCAGTGGTGGGATTCAGCCGGTTCGGGCAAGTTTGGGCGAACCGGTAGTTAAATTGTTGGCTGGCCCTTCCCTTCCCTGCCCTTCCCCTTCCAGGAGTTCCCATGCACCCCAGTTTGGATCCCAGGTATGTGCAGGGAGGCTTACTAGACCCAAAATGGGGCATGGGGGGTGTGGTGCCCCCCCACCCATGGCCCATTTTTGCTCCCACAAGGCTGGAGGAAGGCCTGCTAGGCCCAAAACGGGGCTCAGGGGGGAGGCACGTTTCCTCCCACCCGCGGCCTATTTTTGCTCCCGGGGGGTGCAGGAGTCCGAGTGCTGTCTGTCACATCCCCTGGCCATACCCACCATGGCCACGCCCACCCAGCCGATCATTAGGGCAGAGAACTGATTGTTAAATTATTTGAATCCCACCACTGCCTGTATCCCAAAAGAAAGCAACCTTCAACTACTGTTTCTATGAAAATCCCATTCTGTTAGGACCTCAGCTCAGATGTTACCAAACATTCCACGTTACCCTTAATTTCCCATATCTAAAACAACTAATAAACTCAATTTAAACCTGAGCTCTCTCTTTCATTGTTTAGTCATTTATCTACTTCTGTGTGAGTAACCTTTGGGGGGAAAAAAAACCCATTGAAGTTAGAGAGTTTCGTGTAACTGCTGCATTGCTTTGCAAAAGTGATTTTCTTTAATAAAAGATCTACACCCAAAGGTCTATCTAGATACTGGGGGGAAAAATAGATGACATACTTTTATTGGTGTTCAGAAACGCTTTAGAAACACTTTCTTGAGCCTGGTTTAGCTCAACAGACAGAAGCACTGTAATTTAACACCAGCTGTCTGCAATTAAAGTAAGATCGAATCTCGCCAGGCTCAAGGTTGACTCAGCCTTCCATCCTTTCTAAGGTAGATAAATTGAGGACCCAGTTTGTGGGGGCAATAAGCTGACTTTGTATAAATATACAAAAGTATGAAGGCTATTGCTTAACGCACTGTAAGCCGCCCTGAGTCTCCGGAGAAGGGCGGCATATAAATCAAATTTAAAAAAAAAACAAACAAAAAACTTTCTGAGCTCTATTCAGAGGATAGAGTTCAGAGGAAGAACTCCAGTACTCCCTGCCCCAGTTTAAATGGGATTTCTCTGGACGCATAATTGATAGAACAGAATAGAATAACAGAGTTGGAAGGGACCTTGGAGGTCTTCTAGTCCAACCCCCTGCTCACGCAGGAAATCCTACACCACTTCAGACAAATGGTTATCCAACATCTTCTTAAAAGCTTCCAGTGTTGGAGCATTCGCAACTTCTGGAAGCAAGTTGTTCCACCGATTAATTGTTCTAAGTGTCAGGAATTTTTTCCTTAGTTCTAAGTTGCTTCTCTCCTTGATTAGATTCCAAGATTGTTTCTTGTCCTGCCCTCAGGTGCTTTGGAGAATAGGTTGACCTCTCCTTCTTTGTGGTTGTTTAAGACAGCTAAGATGAACCAGTTCAGATGGAAGATCAAATTGTAGAGCCCTTCGCCATTTGTTAAAAACGTGCGCGGCCCCGTTGCGAACCGGTAGTAAAGGTAAGTAGAACCCACCCCTAGTCCAGGGGTGGGTTCTACTTACCTTTACTACCACTTTCTATCCTAGTGTTTTAACTACTAGACCAAACCGGTTCTCTTTTAAAGTGGACAGCAAGTTGACAGCAAAGCGCCTGCAAGCCCACACATTTTTAAAGAGGCAGAAAATTACAATATATGCATAATTTGATTTCTACTCCTAGGAAGAACAGCCATGGCACAAGACTGAAGCTGGGCTGATTCAGGGCCTGCAATGCCATCCTTTAACCAACAGAGGGGAGTAGAGGGAAGGGAAATTTAGGAGTGAGCTCCTCCTAAAATCCTACTTTTATAGGAAACCCTTTGTCCTTAAAGGCTATTTGATGCATGATGGAAGATAATTGTAGGAGTGCTTCTCATTTTATGCATATAAGCCACCTCCATCCAT